TATTACAAATAACTTCATTTCTGGATATTTATGGTTTGATTTCTTTGTATGTATGGATCACTTGGGTTGTTACTGACATCTGGTGAAAATTTCATGTCATTAGCACCTCTAGTAATATATTTACTGAGAAAAATGGTGACGTGTTCAATACTTATTTTACCCGCTGTATATACTGTATAAAATAAATCAGACTTTACATCATAGTCTTTCTAAACACCTTAAAATTGGCCTCTCTTTGAGAACCTCCTACTGTTTCCTCCCACTTCAGCACATCTTCACAGCATTGCTTCAGTGGGTGGGAGCTCGGCTGCAGACTGAGCTCCAGGGAGGAGCTTTGTACAAATAGGTGGAGCTTTGTGTTTAGGCAGCTCCACATGACTACCACAGGAGATTAAAGGATTTCTCAAAAGTGCACGAATGAGTCAAAGCAACACTCTGGGTATGTTTTTGATGAAAAAGTACATTTTGCATAATAACTCCCCACCCACTTTAAAATTGTATACTGCCAACACTGTCCAACTATCCTTACATGTTGAAAAAAAACTGTCAAGTCTGCAGAAGGTACTTTAGGTTTAAAAGGTCAAAATTTGGTTTGAACAAAAATTTAGAACCCAACAACAACAACAACAACAACAACAACAACAACAACAACAACAACAACAACAACAACAACAACAACAAATGAATGAAAGCTGTAAAAACTGGTAGAAATGTCACTTTTTGTGATGTAAAAAATTAGCTCAGGGATAAATCTTTTTTAAAACTTTTCCACCTTTACTGTCTCACTTGTGCCGTACAAAGAATTTTGTTCTAGAGAAAAACATTAAAACCAAAATGGTAGAAGATGGATGCATAAGTATGCACACCCTTAAATCAATATGAAGCTAAAAAACTAAGTTCTGATTTAATTACAATCTTCAGTCTTCATGGCAGGGAGTTTACGAGCAGACCACACCTTGAATTTGAAATATTTATCCACTTTTTTCTTCCAAAAGCTTCTCTTGTGTGGAGCTTTCTTCAGGTCCACCACAAATTTTCCATCATATTTAGGTCTAGATTTTAATCAGGATATTCCAACATTTTTTCTTCTTTCATTGAAGTTATTTTGTTGATCTGGATGTACGCTTGGGATCCACATCATAAAAAAAGATAAACTCATCTGAAGTTTTGACCTGWAAAAGCAGGTATTTAAAATTGTGCAGAATTTGATTCTCATTAAAATCCAGTTCCAGAAAGAGAAAAGCAATCCCACAGCATGATGAAGCCACTACCGTGCTTCACTGTGGGTACGGTGTTCCTGAATCAAACWGATCTGTTGGAATAGTGGCTGAAAAATACTTTGGTTTTAACCTAAACACGTTTTCTTTCCCCACATTAGAGACCTGATGTATCCAGAGCAGCACTCAGAAAGGACTTCCTGTGTCTTTTACTGTGGAATACAACCAAATAAAAATCAGGAACATCCTACCAGAACATCTGAATTTGTTTCAGGTTAATCAAAGTCACTTTCAGTGACAGCAGGTTTGTTCTTAAAAAGAAAAAAAAACCAAGACAGTTCTTAAATCAAAAGACGCTTCAACAAATCATAATTTTAGGGGTGAGCACAATTATGCAAACAGCCTTTTGCTTCAGTTTAAATTTTTTCCCTTTAACATGTGTTTGTTGGGTTAGATAGGATATACAGTTAGCCTCTGTAACAGTAGAAAACGCTGATTRTTTTTACAGGAGGCATGTGTTTTATGTGGATGTGCAGCATTTAAAACAACACATGCTTTCATTTGATAGATGACCCCAAATGGATTATATTATATTTATTGATGATCTCTATAATTACTTCTCTGTTTAAAATTAAGACAAACCAAAAAATAAAAATAAAAAACAACAGCACAGTATTACTGTAACACATCACCTACCTGTGTATGAGTGGCACTGGGGGGCTGGGACACACAGGAGTAAGGGTGGTCTTGAGGTAAGGAGCCATGGCAGCCCTGTACACCTGACCTGGGCCTGCAGTAAGACCCTCCCGCCCACAGTTCCTCACAGGGGGAGACATCCTGGACATACTGAGATGACCAGAACCGAGGAGCCCTGCCAACACAGGACATGGAAAATGAAGTCAAATTAAAACATGTGCAGAACAGAATTAAGCACAGCGTGCATTTCATGTGTTACTGCAGTAAGATGAGCAGATTGTTGGACAGATTTAGGTAGAATCCCACCAGTAGCAGAGCAGACGCTCTGTGATGGAGGGCAGAACTGAGAGCAGTTTCTCTTGCGTCCAGCAGAGGGGGGTGTTCAGTCCCAGAGTGGAGAGCAGCACTTCATTCAKCCTGCTGGGGCTGCTGCTCACCAGGTACCTGTTCATCATCAGGTCCAAATACCTGAAACATTTATTTTAATAACARTCAACCTGCATTGCATTGATAATGAAAGAGGGATTCATTAAAACTCATTAACGTCACAGAAACAGAATATAAACGAATATGTTCCAGTTAGGGATGCACAGATATGAAAATTTCAGCCGATATCGAAATCCAATGGCCGATAACCGATATTTACCAATATTACACAAACACACAAATTATATTATACACATTCACACAAACACACTTGGGTCTTTTTTTGATTCCCTAAATAAACAACCAGACCTCTATGGCTCCCTACTTCAGTTATTCCTGTTACGCAACATCAGTATCACTATTATGATCAAAGAGATGCCGCTCAACCAGCCATCTCCCCTCCCAAAACAGAAACATAAAGATAAAAAGTGGGAAATCAATATCGGATGTTAATATCGGCTCGGTTTTATATATCGGACCGATACCGATATTCAAAAAAATTGCCAATATCGGCCGATATCGATATCAGTACCGATATATCATGCATCCCTAGTCCCAGTGGAATCATSTTTACCTGTTTGTTCTTTCACTGTGCTGAGCAGCTTGTAGTCTCTTTATATCCATCCACAGATTGAGCAGATTCTCTCCTGCTGTTCCTCGCAGAAACTGCTTGAACTCATCCAAGCCTGGCTTATTGCAAACYCTGGAACAGGAGCCATGCCAACCCACACCCAGTCCATGTTTCTGGTTTGTGATTTTACTCCCCATCGTCCGAGTCTTCTCATCCAGTTTCATGTTTTCTGTTTGTTCAGTGTCCCTCAGGTCAKCCTGATACGTTCTGCTGCTGCAGTTTGTTTGGTGTTGAAACTCTGTGACACAGTGTGACGTGTCAGCCCGCTTCACCACATTCAGTGCCTCTCCAATCACTTCATTAACCACKTTAAAAGCCAGGAGCTCAAGGTGGTTTTCATGAGAATCAGGTGTTTCACAAACTCTCTCTCTGAGATGGTTGTTTGCTCTCATGTCCACTGACACAGTCAGCTGTCTTTGGGAGTTGTGGCKTTTCTGAGTTTTCTTGTTTTGACCAAGAGAGAGAACACCTGATGAGGAAAAACAGGAAAATATTCTGACTCTGAACGGCTGCAGATCATTTTCTCATTTTTGCCTAGACCCAAGGCCTGGAGAAGAGACAYGTTCATAGAAAGAGTAAAAAGAAAACATGGTTTTAACATTTTAAAGAATAGCTATACTTTAAAAAGAAACTTAATTTATATTTTCTTTGTCTTGTTATATGCTCATTTTACAAATTTTGGGCTTTTTCATTCACACTATATTTGTGTGAATGCTTATTTTTCWGTTTTCAGCAAAGAAACTCATTTCACAATTTTTGTGCTATTTCAACAATAAATCWGAATGTTCAGATCATTTATGCCATGGGTGTTATGACTTGGTATTTCAACATATTGTACTTTTTCAACTATTTAGTTTTTTGTTACACTATTTTTCATTGAAAAAAACGGACTTGTGTTCAACATCTTTAAAACCCTTCAAAATGTTTATAAATCTTTTATTCTGCTGCTTCTTCGAGCTCATTTCAGCCTTCTTCAGCTTCATTCTATTTGCTAACGTTTGCTTTATTCTGCAATTTCAGCAGTATTTCTGTCATTCTCCTAATTTAAACTTTTTAGTGCTTTTTTTGCTAATTTAACCTATTTTCTGGCTTTCAAGCTACTTTTAACTGATTTCAGCTAATTTTAGTTTTTTCTAACTTCACCTTTTTGTAATTTCAGCTTCATACAGCTTAATTCAGCAGTCATATGCTCTTACTGCTTATTTGTGCTAATTCAGCTACATTTTTCCACAAATTAAAGTTTTTACACTTGTTTTATTTTTCTGCTGATGTGAGATATTTTTTTACCGTTTTTTTTTTTTTACCATTTGTCTGCTAAATCCAACTCATTTCTGCTCTGTTCAGCTTTAGGAACGTTTGTGATTTTTTTTTCCCTGCTTTCAGCAACGTCAGCTGTTCAAGTTGAATTCACATTAATAGTTTTATTAAACTTTTTCAGCTTTTTCAATAAGCATTTTGCTTTTTCGTAGGAAATGCATATTCTCTAGTTATGCATGTTATGAACTGAAAACCGACACCCACCTTGTTTTGCAGAAATGCTCTCTTGAGAATGTGGCTGAGTCAGGGCATTGATGTCRTCTTTGAAGAAATGGGGGCAATTATTGAATTTCGAGGCTGGAAAGGTGATTTGACTCAAGCTGCTTCTTCTTCTCTGGCTACAAAAGTTTGGGACCCACTGTAACAAGAGCTTGGCTAGTCTGGAAAACAAAATATAAATCAAACACTTTTTCCTTTATACATTAACAGAATATAATAGTCCACAACAAACGATTTATAAACTGCTTTTCCTTCAGGTGAAACGTTAAGTGCGTCTTGTACTTCTGTTGTTAAYCGAGGAGAGTTAATTTAACCCAGGTGCAGTTCCTCTCCGACAGCAGAGACACAAAGAGCCGCCTGTGTCTCCACTCTGTCTCCTCTGTGCACAAAGCCTTTATCTCCCCCACATGACCAGTATTATAGGATTTACTGAATTGTACTTTCTAACAGCCTTGGCCAGCTGATCCTCAGTGGAGCTGTGTACTGCAGACACACCCACAAAGTTCTGACCAATCAGAYGACACTTGGCTCATAAGTTCTGACCAGGATTGTGTACAGAACAGATTCTAGAGGAGGGGACAATTCGAATCAGTTTTTAAAGGTATGCCATTAAACTACAGTATCTCTTGAAGCACTGGATGGAGTTTATAACTCACTGAAATGATTGAATTTACTGTTATAACTGATTAACTTCTGTAGTCAATTTAAGATTAGTCGACACACACAAAAACYAGTCAGTTTTACAAATATTGGGTTAAACTTTGGTGAGGTAGAGCAGAGTCATTATAACCCATACTCAGTGCTAACGCATCTTGAGATCCTAATTTCATGAGAGATTGGGCCTAACATTTGCATWTRATGATCTTAGTCTGAAACTCTGGAACATACTTTGTGTCAGTGGGTGATATGCATAACTTTATGGAACGCTAGGTCTTTATTTCTGGTGAATTAAATAAAGATAATTAAACTGCAGTTATGAAACTAAAGATGTATTAAGATAATCCTGGTCTCATGAGGTGGATGAAGAATTTTAACAACGGTTGTTACAGAATAAAACCTGACTCCTGAAGCTCGTTGGTACAATAAACTTGTTTTACGCAGCACTCTTAGAACAGTTATATTAAAGTACCTGAACTGATGACAGAAATCACTCTGGAGGAAAAAAGCCAGTCTTTGTTTGAGCCACTGAATTCCCTGCTCTCGATCTAAGCCCTGTACGAAGCAGAAAGATTTGWCAAATTATGCCTGCCTGAGGAAGYTMCGATCATTTTCCAAACAAGTGACTCTTACAAGCACAGTGTAGCKGTGATGTGCTGGGGGAGTCTTCATCAGCACCGGCAGGTCACTGARGATTTGGGATTTACTGGAGAGAACATGAGCTGCTCCATTCACCACCTCAAACAKCCCAGTCTCCTGGTTGTACAGCAGATTCACTGAGAAAGACTGAGAAAACTCAAGTTGTTAAACCTGCTAAAGGGGCGTTTGTGTTTGTGCCTAAATTAGGTCTACATTACCGGCAGGCTTAGGAAATCATTGAAGTAGTGAGCCAAAACATTATCAGAGGCTAAAGAACTCTCCTGTGTGGAAGAAAAATAAATTAAAAACACAATGAAGCCCAAACTAAATCCAAACTACAGTGCAAAATTGTCACATTTCAAAGGTTGTACTCACAAAGTTCTCAGAAGTAAGATGAGGCATTTCTTAACACAGACAGAATGAACAGGTTGCTTAAATAAAAACCATATAAACTATCCAGAGAATGTGAGTGTTTCACCTGCTGAAATGAGTCCACTCATTGTAGATTTTAAACATGTACAAGGTGAAAACAGGAATTGCCATTGGTTTCAAATTACAAACAGTCCAGGTTTCTATGGAGATGAATTCTTTCTAAACACAAAAKGACTGTAAAAGTTTAACCAGAGATGAAAAACTCCTACAACAGTCACATTTCTGCTTTGGTACCTCAAAGTTAATTTATTCCAAAAATATTCACGCAATTTATATTACACTGTAATGTTCAACATCACCAACACGAAATGTAAAAAGGCAAAAGTCTCTGTTGTAGTTGACTAATACGAACACTAGATGGCACCAAACTACAGTTAACTGGGAAGAACAACAACAAATGAGACGTTACAAAAAGGTTAAAAAATATATATATATAATAAAAACTAAAAATATATTTATTTTAAAAGTGTAATAGTAAATGCTGAAAATCTCACAAATTCCATTCAACCTTGAAAAAAAAAAAACATTTTGTACACTGAGTATCCATCTGCAGCTAAATCCCATCAGCTGCTGAGACATCCATCACATTCATAATTAAAAACATCAGAATTATGTGCTGCAAAAAAGAGGAATACAAATACAGACAGACACTGAAAGGCACAGATCATGTTAAGAGTAGGAGCTGAACGTTTWCTGGCTAAATGAGAAGCATCTAGCACTGAAGAAGGAAAAAATGGCTAAAGTGACTTTGTTGAGACTGAAGAGGTWTAAATATTCTGTTCACAGTCTTTTAACGTTCCGCTTGCTTTGAGCGCTTCCTGGGAGCAGGTTGTCCTTCCTGCGTCGGCCTCCAGACYGACTGCCACACTCCCTGGAGCCATGGAAGGTGCACAAGCATGATATACAAAACTGAAAGCCGCAGTCGGCTCGGCTGCACACTCCCTCTCCTTTCACTGAGTGACACCTGGCAGGATCCTGACACCTGGGGCAAGGCTTCAGACTCTCATCGGTGAACAGGGTTTTAGCAACCTGAGACAAAGTTACTTGAAATTAATGAAAAGGTTTAATAAACGATAACTGTTAGTGTAACAAGAACTCACCTCCAGAAACCGTTCYCGTTTGCTGCTGCTGCTGTGCTGTAATGGAGTTAAAGTGCTGTTTGCTGACTGGGGGGTGCAGAAGCTGGAGGTTCTGGACTGGGCTTGAACGGCCTTTAGGGCCGACCTGTTCAGCAGAGTAACTCTGGTCTCTGCGTCAGGGGCCTGGACAGGACCACCATGCTATGACAACAAGCAGAACATCAGTTTCCACTTTAAACTCCTTATCACACTGTTCCAGACTGCTGCTCTATTCAGTTTACAGCTTTCATGGAGACAGTACACATCAGCATCACTGCACAGCAGTATAAATGAGCAGGAATCAGCAGCTTTACCACACGTCTTATTGTCCCTGAGAAAGACACTGAATCCTTCTTATTAGTTATCTGAGTACATACAGCAGACAGATAATGTATGTAAGTGCTGTGGAGAAGAAATGCACTGTACAGTGCTTTGTAGGCAACAACGTACTGGTTAATGAAGAACTTTTATCATCACTGATTTTATAAGTAAATATATCATGCTGCACAATTTCTGAATGTTTAAAAAAATAATTTAATTTATTAACTGAGGATCATAAGTGTCTATAAAAAAAATTCACCACCTTAGATGTTTTGTGTTTTTATTGTCATAAATCAATCATGGTTGATATAAATTGGCTTTCAATAGGAAGAGAAATCAAAATCAACAAGACAGAACTTGACGCCAACCATCACCGGTGTCCCCCATCACATGTGCAGAGTAAAAATGGCAAAACATAGCAAATGGTTGATCTCCCCATGATATCACGAGATCGTCTGCAATCTACATATGTGCAGTATGTGTTGGCGTTTAGATCCACTTACAAACAAATTACAAAAATATTTCTCAATAACTGCATACGTTACTGAGCTAATGCCATTTGTCTGTGATGTAAGGTTCAGCTACGGTGGCAGCCATCTTGGATCACATGACCATGCAGATGTCACTAGGGCTTGGACATTCATAGTGACAAGCTGTTAGCAGTTTTGTTGGAATCATCACAGGCCTTCATTATATTAATCATCTCATAAGGTGAACAGACGAAYCAACGGAGAGCATTTCTATGTCCCCCACCTCGATGACAATAAACTACCTTCAACATGGAGATGAAATCTAATTTCTACAAAGCAACTCTACCTGAATAAAATAATCTGTCATAAAAATGTGGAGGAGTTTAAGTTTCTGGGTGTCTTGTTCATGAATGATGGCAGGATGGAGCAGGAGATRRATCGACAGATCAGGGCCTTGTCCTCAGTAATGAGGACGTTGCTTCGGTCGGTGGTGGTGAAGAAAGAGCTGAGCTGAAAGGCAAAACTCTCGATTTACTGGTCTATCTACATTCCAACCATCACCTATGGTCATGAGGTGTGGATCATGAACAAGTACCTCAATACAAGCTGCCGAAATGATCTTCCTTCGTAGGCCGGGCTCAGCCTTAGAGATAGGGGGAGGAGCTTCATCAATCAGGGGGATGAGGACGCCTCCTGGACGCCTCCCTTTAGAGGTGCTCCTGGCATGTCCCACCTGCAGGAGGCCCCAGGGAAGACCCAGGACTCACTGGAGGGATTATGTACCCTCTCTGGAGTGGGAACACCTCAGGGTCCTCCAGGACGACCTGGAAAGTGATGCTGAGAAGAGGGAGGTCTGGGTTTCCCTCAGACCTGTTGCCTCCGCGACCTGACTACGGATAAGCGGTAGATGTAGAAAAACAAAAAAAGTTATAGAAAAAAAGTATTTACACCCTTGTTTTTACCTTTCAAATACCTCGAATGTGTGATCCATGCTTTTATTACATCTCAGCTGGACTACTGCAACTYTCTGTATRTTGGCGTTAGCCAGGCTGGCCTCTGATGCCTGCAGCTGGTTCAGAACGCTGCAGCGCGCCTTTTAACACAGAAGAAGAAGCGTGATCATATCTCCCCGGTGCTGGCTTCCCTTCATTGACTCCCTGTTCATTTCAGAATTGACCGTCCTGATGCATCTCAGTAATCCAGGTAAAAAATCAAAAGTTAACAATCCCCGTTAACAATAGGGTTAATTAGGTGTGAACGATAGCCATGTGATGTGAGTATCAGTCACATGGAGAC